GAGAAAATAAGAGTTTTGAGTTAAATTATTCGAGTTGCCTTTGAAGTCACAAAGAGTGTTTTAGTGAGTAAAGATTGAATCTTTGAATGAAAACACTTCAATCAAGGTACCTTTGAAGTCATTAGAGTGTTTTAATGTATAAAGATTGAATCTTTGAACGAAAATGAGAGTTTTGAGTTAAACTTAATCGAGTTCAAATTTACGTGGAAAACCTAAAGGGAAAAGTCACGGGACCTAGTCTACGTAGATAAAATTAACTATAAGAAAACGAAGTTGCAACTAGGTTGATAGTTCTCACAATCTAGAATCCCTAGTTACCTCTTGACATAGACTGATGCCAAACTTTCCAAACAAGTCTTCATGTTGTTCGTTCGTTTGTTGCCTTCAGACTTCGCTCCTTATTGTCAAGGCACACTGGTTCTTTAGATCATCCAACCCTTCGATCGATGACTATTGGACTCAACTCGATCGATCGACACTTCAACAACTCGATCAATCGACACTTCAACAACTCGATCGATCGATTGTTTTGAAAGATGTTTCGATCAGTCAATGCACCAATTTATTTAGTTTAAAATATACTCCCTCCGTCCCATATTAGTAGTCCATTATTTCATTTTTACATGTCCCAAATTAGTTGTCCTCTTTGAAAAGTCAAAGCATCTTTTCTTTATATTTTCATCATTGTCCTTTATCTTTTAAAAAATTTCAAACTTTGTAACTATATATATTTAAATTAGAAAGGACAATTTGGTAATTTTAAAAGGGGACAATGCATTAATTGCATGTCTCTTTAAAACTCCAATTTCTATAAATGGACCTCTGCTGTGGGACGGAGGTAGTGGTTCAAAAAATTTATAAAAACCTAAATAAATTTGTTAACCTCACCAAGATCAAACTAGGTAAATTTATGTCTTTCTATGGTCATTTTACTTGTGCCCTAGATGTATGGCGCACCCGCAGTAGAGTTCATGTTTTATTCCTATTTCATTGCAATAATCAGTATTTTCATTAAAGAATTCTCTACCTTTATCATTTATGGTTTTGTCAATTTAATATACTTTCTCCTTTTGGATTCTTTGATAAATTGTATTAAAACTATTTGTTAAATTTGGATGTGGAAATAAGAAATGCAAATAGGAAAAGGGAAGAGAGAAATATGGAGAACACAAGTATATACATGGTTCGGCACAAAGGTCTACATCAATGGACAAAGAGCTACTAAGGGCTACATTTCTATTATTCAGATCTGCATATTGCTTGATAAGAATATATAAAAGGTGAACAATAGTCAGAGGAGGCACTGTGATTGGTGGAGGATTTTGCTCCATGATTATATAGAAATATTTATATATTTCAACATTACCCCTCAAGTTGGAGCATGAATATTATGAATGCCCAACTTGCTAAAGAAACACCTTAAAAGATGATGAGAAGGTGTCCGGAACAAAGCTAAGAAATTGACTAGATCTTGCTGTGGAAAATAAACTGGAACTCATCGGGGAAAATGGCCGGAAGTAAATGGGAAAGGTCAGAACAACGTCGGGAAAGGCCAGAACTAAGCCGGGAAAGGCTGGAACTAAGCCGAGAAATGGCCGGAACTACGCCAGGAAATGGCCGGCTATGTTACATGGACTCAGGTACGGGTGTTGAACACGGGTGTGTATCCATGAGTCGGACGTGTCAAATTTTCAAACGGAAGGACACACGGACATGGCTAAATATTCATTTTATTTTATGTTCTAGAGTAAAGTAATGTTTTTATCTAATATAATGTTCAATATAGGCATTTAACTCATTTTAAAGTAATAATATAATGTATTTGAATGATTGGCTATGCTTTTTAAGCATATGTCCAACCAAAAGTGTTGAACACATATCCCATACCCATATCCGAGGAACATGTGTCTGACACGAGTACTTCACTACTTTTGAAGAGTTCATGTAACAGAGATGGCCGGAACTAAGCCATGGCCGGAACTACGCTGGGAAAAGCCGGAACTACGCCGGAAAAGGAATGTGAAGACATAGAGAATATGCTCCATGATATTAATTTCAATACTCCCCCTCAAATTGTAGATGGGATTACAAGAACAACTTGGCTCTGATACCATGTTAAATTAGGATGTAGAAATAAGAAATGCAAATGGGAAAAGGGAAGAGAGAAATATGGAGAACACAGACATATATATGGTTCGGCACTAAGGCCTACCTCCATGGACAAAGAGCCACTAATGGCTACATTTCTATTATTCAGATTTGTATATTGCTTGAGTACAAAGAGTCTATATATATGCATGGTAAAGGTAAGAATATATGGAAGGTGTACAATAGTCAAAGGTGGCACCGTGACTGGTGGAGGATTTTGCTCCACCGTTATATAGAAATATTTATAGTTGGAATGAAATTGACTGAATCACCGTGATTGGTGGAAGATTTTGCTCCACGATTATATAGAAATATTTATATATTTCAACACTATTAAAGGTATTTGATTTTTCTCTTAGAAAAGCTACCCCTGGAAAACCATAACTAAAATATGCTTCATACCACCTATACTTTCAGTTTATATTGGACCCATCAGATCTATGTGTATAAGATCAAGTTTTTTAGAAGTGTTTATTGTTTGGAGTTTCTTGTGTGATATTTCTATTTGTTGTCCTAACTGACATGGACCATAGGGCTTTTGGATATTATTTTGAAAGTATTAACTCTTCATATTGTCATCAATCTTTATTTGAATTCTGTTAGTTAATTATGTTGATTGATATTTTAATTATAGTTTTATTCCAGTTAATTTTCAATTTCCATCATAGTCATAATTATGCATCAATAGAGAGTAATGTAAAGTAGAGCATGGACACACCAATTTTTACAAGGAAATTCCAAACAGGACAACCAAGGTGCTAGTCTAGGCAGGCACAGTGCACTGTAAGAGAAACAAGTCACAATTAGGTTGACAATTCCCACACCCTAGAACCCCTAGTTAACTTTGGACACTAACTAAAGTCAAACTTCTCACGCAAGTCTTTAGAATATCCTTCTGCTCCTGAACAGACTTCGCTCCTCATGATTCCGCTTCTCTAGTGATTGTTTGCTCTTTCTTCTCTGATAATGATCCGTTGAATTGGATAAAATTTTTGAATTCCTCCTTGATGACCACTCAATTACATATGGCGAAATTCATGGAAACCTAGATTGGGCCATTTTTGAATTCTTCTCTCTCTAGATGATTGAAGACTTCAAAAGCATGTCTAGATTGACTATAAATCCATTTTTATAGCCAATATAGGTGGCCCATACATTCTAGTCAGTAAAATCCTAGTAAAAATTGTGCTTTGAGAGTTTATTTATTTATTTTATTTTTTTTCTTCTACAAAAAAATATCCGTTAGGTTTGATCGATCATTTGATCGACCCTTCAATCAATGACTACTGCTGGCCTCCATTGATCAACCCTTTGATTGTGGCACACTCTTTAGAAAATCAATTGATGCGACCAGTAGCTATTTGATTGATTGAGACAATAGTCCAACTGATCTCATGATATCCAGTAGCATGGACTGCTTGTTTTTGGAGCAATTGGTCTGACATGATAAGCAGCATACTTCAGGTATTTGCAACTGGTGGGAAGTTTGTATGCCAGAGGTTAATCAATATAGTGACTCTGAGACGAACTTATAAAGTTATTTTTCTATATAGAGAATTATTGAGCTTTGGACTAGCTCCCAAGGTTTTCTCCCTTTGGTTTTTAATCAAATCTGCATGCCTTTTATTGTTATCGGTTGTTAGATGGTTGGTTGATGATCTCCTTGATTCATATGATTATTACTGATTGACTAGGAATCTATTGAATTAAAAATTGGGATTGTTTAAAGTAATCTAAAATGAAATTGGGCAAAAAATTGATCGAGGTTCAATACGGAGTTTGGACCTAAACAGCATCATGTGTGATTCTATTAAAAAAAGCTTATCATTTGGATTACTTGTTTTCTACCAAACTTCCCAGTGGATTCCAAGTAGTTAGAATAAGTTTTTGTTGAGTTGTGTCACTTCATAAAATCAGTGGACAAATGCGCTGTAATTACTTTGCATATATTTTTTTATTAAAGAAAAAAGTCTTGCATCTAGCTGAAACTTCTTGCCTCATAATTACAAAATATATGGTACTAATTGAAATAATTACATTAACTGACGGGCTGCTCACCCCACTGATAGTAGAATGAGCAGAATTCCAGTCTCCAACCAAGGCTTGTAATCCTAATGTGATTTTTGTCCCCCCGAAAGTTCAAGCAAACACACAGCCACTATATAGTTTTTGCCCCCGCCGGGACTCAAACACTCAACCTTCCCAAAGAGGGAGGAGAGGTTTTCTTGTCTAGGCTAGAGCCCGTTGGTCTTGTAATCCTAATGTTGCTTGATCTACTCCGAATGGAATTGTATGTTGCGAATCAGAGACGAGTTAAGATTTATGATTAGATGTTTAGCTTGCTATCATGAGAATTATGCTTTTTATCTGATTTGTGTGGTGATGAAAAAATTTATCGTCATCATCATCACCGTCCCTTTTAGGTTTAGAATCATGTTGGTTTATAACTTGTTTGTTTTCCCACTGGAACCTGTCCAGATGGATAATCTTAGGGTGAAAAATTAAAGGGTTTTTTAATAAGACGACTCTATGTTGGTTAATATGCAATGACCGTTTTCTTCTATTACAAATCTTTGGACCTTCACTTATATTTGATGTCTATATGTGCTGCAATAAGGTTAAGCTGCTTGTCGATCAAATCATGAACATTTAAGGAGATTTAATGCTATGTGGTTTATATGCGAAGACCACATTGTTTTATTTTTATTTATTTATTTTCAATCCTTGGAATTTCAGATATATTTGGTAGCCTACATATGTTGTAATATCGTTAATTATGCTTATTGATCATTTTATGATTTTCTTTTTTCTGATATTCTCTGATATTCACGACCATTTACGAATTTGTTTAGGCAGTTCAGTTTCCAACAAAGATGAACAAGATGGTAATAACTGACTTGAACCCTGATGTGCTGAAAATTCTTATGATTTTGGTTGCGAAATCATCAAATGGGGCTGCAGATCTGGCAAGGGCAATATCCGTGTAAGACCTTGCTTCTTTTTAGCCCTTTAAAATGAAATTCTATGTCTCCTTACAACTAGGCAACTAGTTGTTTATGTGGATACTTTGCTCTAATGGTTTGTTTTGTCTTACTAATAATGACTCAGCTGTAGCTCTACTTAAAGAGCTTCGGCTCTTTGCTGCGGTTGAAGGTTTGAACAGTCAATCATCTGAGAATGAGGTGACTTTGTCAATTGAACATGATGCTTCGGAAACAGAGGGGAATATGTAGTTAGGAGTGGTTGATGCTCCTACTCAGCAGCACTGTTCTAAAGATTCTTTTTCCGGGACGGATTTTGATCAATCTGAAGTGGATTTACTGGAACCTCTGGCAGTTGTGCGGCCAGATTGTTTGGAGACGACCAGTGATCTGGGTATGGAATGGGTTATTGAGAATATTGGAGCAGTAAGTGAAGCTTTTGGTGTCTCTGCAGAAGGTTATGAGGAACAAACCTTGTCTATTCTTCACAAAATTGTTGCAGGAAATGGTATTACTGAACCTAATCGTGGCACAAAAGAAGTCAAAAGTCAGAAATTCACATCGGAAAGGCGAACAGGAAGTGAAGAATCTGATTTCTTGTGTTAATTATGACGGGAAGAATGGGATGACCAAAGAAAGGGGAAGAACCAAAAGTGGTAAACGGGGAGGAGGAGAATTGATCGTTTTTGGTTCTACATGAAGCTACGACTTATAACATGGTATGTTTGTGGTCTAAATGATTCGAAAAGAAGAAGAGTTGTCAAGGTAGCTTTGAGGAAGTGGAGTGCTCATGTCGTATGTTTACAAGAAACTAAGATGGCTGCTATCACCATTGAGATTGTTAGGAGTCTTTGGGGAGGTAGGTTTGTGGAATGGGAAGTGTTGAACGCAACAGGCACTTCAGGTGGTATTCTTCTCATGTGGGATCGAAGGTGGTTGTCAAGTTTGAATTGTTGGAAGGGTATTTTCTCTGTGTCTTGTCTGTTTCAGATGGAGGAAGACAATTTCAGGTGGGTGTTTTCAGGTGTTTATGGGCCTGTTACTGATAGCGATAGACCAGTCCTATGGGAAGAGCTTTGCTATGTTAAGGATTTATGGTCATTGCCTTGGTGTTTAGGTGGGGATTTTAATTCTGTTAGGTCCCCATTTGAGAGGTCCACAGGGGGCAGGTGGTCCTCAGAAATGACTATGTTTTCAGAATTCATTGATAGTAATTTCCTCATTGATCTACCATTGGAAGGAACGGCCTTTACGTGGTCTAATGGTAGGGAACCGGTTACTTTTTCCCAGTTGGATAGATTTTTGATTTCTGGGGCGTGGGAAGAGCATTTCCCTGGCGTGGGAAGAGCATTTCCCGGATGTCTCTCAGGCTGTGTTGGTTAAAGTCACATCTGATCATGTGCCTTTAGTTCTTAATTGTGGTGGTTTGAGTTCTAGACGCACTCCTTTCCGCTTTGAAAGCATGTGGCTTAAATCCAAGGACTTTCAAGGGAAGGTTCAGTCTTGGTGGGAGGAAGCGAATTTCACAGGCTCTGCTAGTTTTGTGGTAGCTAGAAAGTTTCAGTTTCTTAAAATTGAGTTAAAGAGGTGGAATAAAGAAGTGTTTAGGAATCTTGAATGGAAGAAGAATAGAGTTCTTGCTGATATTGCTGAGCTCGATCGTCTTGATGAGGTGGGACAGAGTGGGGAATCATTATGCTCTAAAAGAGCCTCTTACCAAGCGGTTTTTGCTGAGATTGCTCTTATGGAGGAGATTTCGTGGCGCCAGAAGTCTCGGGCTTTGTGGTTAAAAGATGGGGATCGTAATACAAATTTTTTTCATAGACTTGCCAATGCTCACAGAAGATGTAATCACATCGGGCGTATCCGGGTCAATGGTTCTGAATTGTGGAGGGAGGACGAGGTGCGCGGGGGAATTGTTTCTTTTTATCAGCAGCTTTACACTGAGACTTTGGATTGGAGACCTACTCTTGATGGTCTTCCTTTTAATTCTATTTTTGCGTTGGATAGTGATAGGATTGAGATTCCATTCACGGAGGAGGAAGTTCATAAGGCACTTTCTAGTTGTAACGGGGACAAAGCTCCAAGGCCAGATGGGTTTACTATGCGATTTCTTAAGAAGAGTTGGGAGGTGGTGCAAGTTGAGGTGATGGGCACCTTTCAGGATTTTTATTCTCATGGCACATTTGAGAAATCTCTGAACGCATATTTTATTGCTCTCATTCCCAAAAAGGGCGGTGCCTCTGATATTAAGGACTTTGGGCCAATTAGCTTAATTAGATGTTTGTATAAGCTTATTGCCAAGGTTCTTGTCTCCAGGATGAGTAATGTTTTGGATGGTCTTATTTCAGAATTATAGAATGCTTTTGTTGGTGGGAGACAGATTTTGGATTCTGTTCTTATTGCAGGGGAATGTGTTGACTCTAGATTAAAAAGTGGGGTTCCTGGCGTTTTGTGTAAGCTTGATATTGAGAAAGCTTATGATCCCAATATTGAGAAAGCTTATGATCATGTTAATTGGGAGTTTGTTCTGTATCTGCTTCGGAGGATGGGGTTTACTGACAGGTGGATAAAATGGATTGAAACTTGTATCTCGTCAGTTATGTTTTCTGTGCTTGTGAATGGTTCACCTGCGGGTTTTTTTGCTAGCTCGCGTGGTTTGCGACAAGGAGACCCATTATCATCTTTTCTTTTCCTTATTGTCATGGAAGGTCTGAGCAGATTAATGAGAAAAGCGGAAGATTTGGGTTACATCAGGGGGTTCAGAGTTGGCAGAGATGTTGAACATCAGATGTAGATCTCTCATTTGTTGTTCGTGGATGATACTTTGGTATTTTGTGATGCTGAAGTTTCTCAACTCATATATCTGAGGTGCATTCTTGCTTGCTTCCAAGCCGTTTCTGGGTTAAAGATTAATGTCAGAAAGAGTGTGCTTGTCTCAGTGGGGGATGTTCCGGATATTTCCTCCTTAGCTGCTGTCCTAGGGTGTGGTGTTGGTGCTTTTCCTCTTCCTTATTTAGGATTGCCTTTGGGAGTTTCTTCTACACGAGTTGGGACTTGGGATACAGTGATTAATAGATATGAGAAAAGATTAGCAGGATGGAAAAAGCAATATCTATCTAAGGGGGGGAAAGTCACACTCATTAAGAGTACTCTCTCATCCCTTCCTACCTATTTTTTATCTTTGTTTCAAATTCCATGCTCTGTTGCTCAAAGGATTGAAAAAATTCAGAGGGATTTTCTCTGGGGTGGAAGGGGAGAGGAGTTTAAGTATCATCTTGTTAATTGGGATCATGTTTGCCAACCTTTGAGGTTAGGCGGGTTAGGCATTCGAAAAATCGTTCCTTTTAATCGTGCTCTCTTGGGAAAGTGGTCATGGAGATTTGGAAGGGAACGCCATCGTCAGTGGAGAAGAGTTGTCTCGTGTCGTTTTGATGAGGAGAGTGGGGGCTGGTCATCTCTTCCAGTCATTATTACGGGAGGCGTTGGTGTGGAAATTCATTCGGAAGGGCTGGGATATTTTCTCCACACACATTAGACTCAAAGTTCGTGATGGCAGACATGTCGTTTTTGGGAGGACCTTTGGTGTGGAGATCAGTTGCTGTCTCACTCCTTTTCTAGACTTTACAGTATTGCAGCCAATAAGCATGTTTACGTGATTGATTGTTATCAACTTGATAACAGTGGAGTTATGTGGGATGTGCGGTTTAGGCGCTCCTTTCAGGATTGGGAAATGGAGGAAGCTTGTGCTTTTTTGGATACGTTGTATAGGCAAAAGGATATTGGCAGAGGGCGTGATGATATTTTGTGGGTTCCTCTAGCTCATGGTAGGTTTGGTGTCCGATCCATGTTCTTGTGTTTGTCCAATTTCGTTGGTCACGAGTTCCCTTGGAAGTCTGTTTGGCATTCTAAAGCTCCTATTCGAATGGCATTCTTTGTTTGGACTGCCACACTGGGAAATATTTTGACATTGGACAATTTGAGAAAGAGAGGCAACATCATTGTTAATTGGTGCTGTTTATGTAAAGCTGATAGTGAATCCGTGGATCACATTCTTTTGCATTGTCCTATGACGTATGATTGTTGGAGTTTTATTTTTTGCATGTTTGGCGTTTTTTGGGTAATGCCTAAGCACTCCTCACAATTGATTAACGCTTGGAGAAGGTGTCCTGATAAAGAACAAGCTCTTGATTATTGGAGGATTGTTCCACATTGTGTTCGGTGGTGTTTGTGGTGTGAGAGAAATAACAAATCCTTTGAAAGAAAATAATCGTCTTTAGCTAATTTAAAAATTCATATTCTTTGTCCTTTGTTCTGTTATGTAAGAGGAAATGCATGTTCCTCGATTGATGATTTCTTGGATTTCTTGGATTCTTTTGGTCCTTAGATCATTTTCTCCTTGTATTATGGACGTGTTCCCCTTTTGAACGTTTTTCTAATATATTTTTACTTATCAAAAAAAAAAAATAATGGTGCTATTAGGATTTTGTCAAGATAAAGCCCCACGTACTCCATATGACTTTTGATTGGGTTTCATGCGTATGATTGTACAAGTGTATGCTATTACTGTAAGTTGCGAATGTAATAACGTAGGATGAGTCTGGTTTAGATAAGGCCTAATGGCCTATTTGACTATGCCTTCATTGTTTGGACAACACACTTGTGCATATAGTGACCTCAAGTGTGTGTACACTTGTTTGCATGAATTACAAAAGTATTGACTTCAGTCACTTGACTAGACACTACTTTTGCTGAAACCCTTCCCATGATGGCTGGAAAGTTGACCCTAGGTTGGGTTCATTGTCCAGGATTAAGAAGTTCCACGTTGGCACAAGTTTGGGATGACGACTTTGTCGTTTTCAGGCTTAGGTGGTATGGGTTCTGAAACTGATAGTGTTAGACTTCTTTTAATTTTCTTTTGTCTACCTTTCTAATGTCAATCATTGGATTTTGTTGTCAAAAGAAGTCCTTATTCTCCTCGCAATCTTTCTAATGCGGTTGCAAAGCTTTCATGAACATTGCTGCCAATGAGGATGTGTTAAGAGAAGTCAATTTCAGCAATGTAATGCTGCCAAATCGCTATGAATTATTCCAATACATTAACGGCCTATTAAACAGATGTGCTCAGGCTGGAAAATGTTACTGCCCAGTATATGTTAGCCAAGGTAACCAACTTTTCTTGGCAATCAATTGATTTTTATTCTTCAATATTTGCTTGACCAACTATTATTAAAATTCTGAAACTGTTTTTCTCATTTTCATTACAGACAGTACTGGTGAGTGCTTCTCAGTTTTTCGTGATAAATATTCCTCACGATGTTTCAGAAACTGACGCTGCGGATCAGTACATTATAGATCGAGCAAGTGGCAGATTAGTTTCTGTCAATCATGCTCGGAGTACTTTCATAGCTCATTTTATAGTGGATCAGGCATCTACTAGCGATACTTGGACCAAATAGAAGGTTATGTCATACTCAACTTGTGAGGTTGTTCTTGTGCCAATGCACCCCTCATGACCTCATTGAAATGCGTCCACATTTGGTCAAATACTCCAAGTACTTCATTAGATCGAGGAGGGACGTAGATGGCTATCTCAAGTTCTTCAAGAATATTGGAGGGATGTGTACAATTGTCGACATTCTTCGATATTTTGAGAAACTTTCCAAGAAAATCATAAAATTGGAATATCCACTCGAAGATTTGGAAGGGATTGTAATAGAGTCGGAGAAGGAAGAGAGTGCATCTAATGCAAGGTATTTTGGCCTGGGAGGGAAATTTGATTCCTACACTGAAGAGTTCAATAAACTTCATGCCTTGAAGGAGTTGGACGGAAATATTGGGGAAGCATCTCCTTAGGCGAACGGGACACGGTCTTGCCCTCGATTTGAAGAGCTCAAGGCAGCATATCAGAGCGCGGCTGCAGATTTCAAAATATTTCAACTTGGTGCAGTTGTAATTTTTGATCACTTATTTCCGGCGAGTTGATGTACATAAAGGCATGTGTCCTCTAAGCAGGACACAGAACCTCTTGAAAAGAACTCTAGCTAGTGTGCAACCTTTCTGTTCCAGAAAGTTAAAAATAGTACCCATCTCAGCTTGAAGAAGTTTTTCGCCTATAACTTGTGTAATGTTCTGTTTTATTCTTGGTTATTTGCTTAATTTTTCTTTGCAGGTCAAACTCTCACCATCATAAACTTCATTTTATGCAGTGCAATCAAATGAATGAATATTACATTTTATTTTCTTCTCTTTAAATAGGTGGTGGCCATGGCCGCCTCATTCGTTTATGGGGGGTTGTGATATATATAACAGGTAGGAAACACACACACACTTTTGTCCACACCGGGTTCCAGGATCGGAAGGTCTTACGATTGGGCTAGATGTGCTTTGGTGTGATGACTATTTACTCCAGGATTGGGAGGTCTTACCATTGGACTAGATGCGCTTTGGTGTGATGACTATTTATCTAGCGTCAATTATAAGAAAAAAAAGAAGTAAAAAAAATACAATAAATAAATAGATTTAGTTTTCTATGAACAGTTTTTTGAAAATTGTACAAAAGTAATGTCTGGTTCAGTTTTTTGAAAAATCAATCTTAAAAAGGCATGTTTTTATGTAACTGTTTTCTCTGAAAGTAATTTTAAGAATTCTTGAGAACTGTTTTAAAAAAATTAAACCAAACACATCTGAAATTTTTCACCAGGAAGAATTGGAATTTTCTATGAAAGAGTCGTATCTATATCTATATTGTGTCTATGTAGGACATTATAGCTTAGTGGTACTGCTGCACCTTCCAAGCATAACCTATTAAGAGCCTTATGGCTTAGTGATACTTTTTCACCTTTTAAAGTAAAAGGTTGAGGGGTTCAAATCCACATAAGAACAAAAATAGGTATGTGAATATGTTTCTTCCCAATGAAAAAAAAAAAAAAAAAAAAAAAAAATTGAAAGACTATTTATCTAGCGTCAATTATAAGAAAAAAAAGAAGTAAAAAAAATACAATAAATAAATAGATTTAGTTTTCTATGAACAGTTTTTTGAAAATTGTACAAAAGTAATGTCTGGTTCAGTTTTTTGAAAAATCAATCTTAAAAAGGCATGTTTTTATGTAACTGTTTTCTCTGAAAGTAATTTTAAGAATTCTTGAGAACTGTTTTAAAAAAATTAAACCAAACACATCTGAAATTTTTCACCAGGAAGAATTGGAATTTTCTATGAAAGAGTCGTATCTATATCTATATTGTGTCTATGTAGGACATTATAGCTTAGTGGTACTTCTGCACCTTCCAAGCATAACCTATTAAGAGCCTTATGGCTTAGTGATACTTTTTCACCTTTTAAAGTAAAAGGTTGAGGGGTTCAAATCCACATAAGAACAAAAATAGGTATGTGAATATGTTTCTTCCCAATGAAAAAAAAAAAAAAAAAAAAAAAAAATTGAAACCTTCTTCTGCTGGATCGTGGTTGTGAGTCAGAAATTATAAAAAAGGACAACAATCCTTCATGGTTTTTTTTTTTTTTTTTCAAGAAAAGAAATTTTCACACATCCACTTACCTTTAAGATAACTTAAACCACTTTTTATTCTGGAATGTAAGAAAGTACTACCAGACTATAACGTTTGGTATTTAAACTTTTATCAGATCCAAGAAAATGGCTCCATTCATCCGCGTCTCATGAGTGGGAGCATAACAACTGTAATTAGCATAATCTCGGAACTTTTTTTTCAAAAATCAGTTGTAACCATTAGAGGAAATGTCATTCTCAAATTTAGATCTTTTATGAGATTCAAATCGCAAGCTGGTAATCCGGTTGTTGATTTCGAATTTGACATGTCAAGTTGATTAAGTCGATTATAATTGCAACTTTTAGGTATTTTACATTTCATCATCTTGTATATGATTGCTTGAGATGAAATAGGCTGGTTTTCTTATTAAGGCATGATATTGATATTGCATGTTGAAATGGGATGACGACTATTATGTTCCCAAACTTAGACGTTAGTAAGCATAATCCCTTTGTATTATCTAAAATACTTTTACGTTTGTAGGATCCAAGAAATGTAGCTTATTTGTATAGCATTCTTTTCTACCGGACTTATTTTGGAGGACACACTTCATCCATAGCCCATGTTGTTTTGGTGGAACTTTTAGATGTTCTTTGATGTGGTTGACTTTCTTTCAATGTTTTTACTTTTGCATTTGAAATTTGGATTAGGCTCCATTTGTTTTGACGTAAAATATTTTTAAAAAAAATAATTTTTTATTTTTTAGTGTTTGGTTATCGTAAAATATTTACGAAGAAAAAAAATATTACAATTTAATAAAAATAATTTATTTATAAATTTCTGACAAGTTATTTTACATGTCCCGTTCGATGGATTCGGCCCCAACCTCGATGTAGACTTTTGCAAAATACAATAAAAATAAAAGAATATTTTACGTTGAAACAATCGAAACAAACGGAGCCTTAGAGTCTGATGTATCTTTCCTTGTCATCAACTGGATCCTTAGGAGTCCCATCCATCAGAAGATGACATACCACGTGTAATAGATGTCTCTCACATCAACATCAATCTAAAATAAAGAGAAAAATAACATAAATAAAGACATATTCATAAGGTGGGGTGACATAAATAGAGAGAGTTTCTTTAGGTTTTAGTGGGAAGTATCCAAAAGAAGAGTATATATATATATCTTAGGTGAACTACATTAAATCTCTCTTTTTTTTTTCTGTATTTTTCATTAAACTATTTTTTTTTTTTTTTTTTTGCTAAAAAATCCCTTAAACTGTTCAAGGGGGGTGATTTAATTAACGAAAATTAGTTGAAAGAGAACTGAAATATAAATTGACTTGAATACCCATTAAAGTCTATTTGAAAATTCACTTTGCTTTTTATTTATTTATTTATTAAATAACCTAAACGACATCATTCATAGAAATTGTCACCTTTTTTTTTTTTTTTTTTTGTTTAAAAATTTACTAGACTGACAAGTTCACATTAGTCACATAGAAGGAATTTTTTATTTTATTTTTGTAGAAAAAAATGATATTGAAATATAAAAAATAAAAAATAAAAATAAAAAAAAATAAAAAAGAAGATGAAAACATGTAGGCATAAATATTAATATAAAAAAGGAAAAATATTAAGCATTATTTCTCGTGGTGTCCCTTTAATAAATCTATATAAAATGAAAATCAATAAAAACCAAATAAATGAATGCACAATATAAAAAAAAACCTAAATTTATATTGGTTATTATAAATAATATTTAATGGTACATATTATATATATCATTATACTATGATACAAATTTTATACAATATTATGATGATGGAAGAGTACGTGTTGTTGCAATTGTGGAAGACATACGGTTAGGAGTGATAATGGAGTAGATATATATGTGAGGGTAAATTTAAAATAGGTACATGGACATTTTTGTCTAAAAAATATATAAGAAACTAAATGTCCAGACAGCTCCCTTTCAGCTAATTTTCGTTAGTTAAATTACCCCCCTCGAATAGTTGAGGGGAGTTTATTGACAAAAAAAATAGAAAAAAAGGGGTTTAGTGAAAAACATAGATAAAAAAAGAGGGTTTAATCTAGTTCACCCTATATCTTATGACGTGTAAGAATGGAGAAATTATTGCATATCTAGAGCATCATTTGCTTCGTTAATAGAAATTATTGATTTAGTACTCTCTTCCAGTAAAGATCCACGATTTGCTTCGTTAATAGAAAATAATTACTACAGTACTACTTAATATTAGAGTAATTAAATTACATTGTTTTCTCTTAAAATTTAAATAAATTACACACAAAATAGCGGGTTTGATCTTTATTATTTTGACTTCCTCTAAAAGTGACATAAATGTCTTTCGTATCCTTCTCTAATTTAATAATAAATTAATTTAAAAAATTTATAAAACCAATAGACACTATTACCCTTTTATTTTTTTCTCCCGTCTTCCTAATTGTTTTATTACCCTACCTAATTTTTTTTCTTTCTTTTTTCCTTTTAAAAGGTAACCTAATTAAATGTCATTAACACAAAAAAGAAAAAAAAGAAAAAAAAAATTATTTTTGTATAATTTAATTATATAAAATTGGTATGAAATATGATTTTTTTTTTTTTTATTTTTTTATTTTTTTTTTTTTGTCATTTCATATCAAAATATAAGGTTATTGAGGTCTTTTAACACAAGGACATGGTAACTTAGTTATTTTTAAAATTTTCATTAAGGGAGTGTTAGTTGAGCAAAATAATAAAGGCCCTCTACCTGGCGTATAATTTGCCTAAACTTTTAAAAGAAATCAATATAATTTACCCTTAATATTATTCATATTATGGATTTCTAGCTAATACCAATAATTTCTCACGGAGAAGCAAAGATGTCCAAACCAATCCATCACAAAGCTGCCCGAACACTTTGGCACATATTTGA